ATAATAATAATAATAGTAATAGTAATTAAAACAATAAATAGCATAATTAATCGAACCCACCCGGCCAGGATAGTAGTACGTATTACGTAGTTAGTGCGCCTAAAATAATTAGGGAGTACCAGGCGTGCTAATCAAGCAAGCCGACAACAAGCTACTCGAGATCAACTCGGTTCTCACTTGATCATAGCTCGATTCGATTCAAACTCGACTCGGACTTGACTCAAACCAAACCAAGTCAAAGCTCAAACTATATGCAAACTCGATTTGAAAAGCTCACAAGGTTCTCGATTATGAGTTAGTGTTGATTGTTTTAGATTCATACATATGTGACATTACATCGATCATATACATTACATCCATAGGTTGAATCCATGCATAAAACTGTACTTATCTTCTATATAGTACTGAAAATATGCTAGAGATTCACATATTGCTTAACATTTAAATAATGTTCTAAAAACGTTATGCAGATTATAGACATATATTCTCATGAACGCTCAAGCAAATTTAAGTAGGACAAACTTGACTTAGTTCCTCCTAGGTTTAAATAAATAGACGGCAAAGAGAGACTTAATATATAAGAGACAACTAGGCGGAGAATTTTAAAATTAAACAATATTTTTATGTTTAAGAAATTATTGATGATTGCACATATATGTTTAAACGTATAAAACTATCAAATAAGCCCCCGTACTATACCGAAAAAGTCGATTAGGCCCTTGTACTTTACAAACACTCAATTAAGTCCACGAACTATTAAAAAAACGTTCAATTAAGCCCTTTCAGTCGGTAAGTAACCGGTTTCATACTTTTGTCTACATGGATCAAGTAGAATGTTACAGTTGAATTATTTAAATCTAAATTAAAAATGATAAAGTGATGTGGTCCAATCAAATGAATAATAAGTACGATACCCCATTTTTTAAAAGGGTACCAGAGTTGTCACCTTTCTAGAAATATGAGTTAGATACTTAGATATTAACAAAATTACTGACATGTGATGCATGTATTAATTATAATAGTGTAATTAAAATACCTTAACGTTTGAAAAATCGCCATGGTGAGTATATATTATATCATCACCATCTCTAACTAGTATCATCTTGATGATGGCCTTGGTTGATTAGAAAAAGGACTTGGCAACAATTAAATTGGCTTGGGATAGAATAAGCGGTAGAAAAGACAATAATACACGATGATTCTTTGTTATTAGTTCCCTTGGCTATCTG